TTTCCCTTTCAGGAGAATAAGAACTCTGCATTTCTCAGCTCAGGCAGTGGACAGGCAGGTTGACAAGGAGGAACTGCCCTGCGGGAGTTGCTAGTGCTGTCCCAGAGGGTGACACACCTTAGAAACTCTTTATTTAAATATTTATTTAAAGCCTTAACACAGTGAACTTTTTATATATATATATATTTATATTTATATATAACCAATTTATCTCCCTTCCCTAAATGAAAGCTAGATTTAGGGGGATACATTACTGGCCCTTTTTTTTCTTTCCCTTCAAATAAATTAATTTGGTGTACATAGAAAAATATATGACTTGGGTTTCCTTTCAGTTATAGATCACACAAGGGTTGGGGTAAAGAATGGAAGACAAGCACAAGAACTTCCTCCTGTCCAAAATAAAAAAAAAAAGGAAAAACACTGAATTTAAGCATTTCTAGTGCAACAGAGCCAAGAAATCCATGTTCTGCCACCAGAGGCATGGCATGACTCCTGCTGTTACCACTTCTTCTGAACTGCTCAGCTCATGTCCTTGGTCCCCAAAGGGTCACGTTTCCATGTGACATTACAGCACCAAAATGAAAAAGGCTGAACTTTAAAAATCTGAAAAATCAAGTTTCTGGACCTCAGCAGCAAGGCTGCAGCTGGGTGGTGGGGTTCTCTTCTCTTTCACACTGGATGGTCACTGACTTTGGCATCAGAAAACATTGGGGACAAGAACACAGCAGGATCTGGCAATGTTTCCTGCAGCAGGACACCCTGGAGCTCTCAACTCCCATCCCAGGGAGGAAGATGAAGAATGCAGTGGGACTCCAGAGTAACCCAGAGCATTTCTGCCTCATGGAAACACCTTACAATGACAAAGAGTAACCCAGGGAGGCATTAAGCTGCAGCACATCACTATGTGAGAGGGGTGGTGGAACATCCTGCAATGGGAGAGGAGCAGAGACCCAAGGCAGAATCTCACACACAGGCCTGGCAGCTCAGTTCAGACTCAGCCCTGCTATCAAGAGAAAAATCCACATCAAAGGCCACAATTTTCCCCCCCTCCAGAGAGCCAAAATTCAGCCCTTCCAAGTCCATAGTTGTAGGAAACAAACTGCACATTCACTCCAAACACTGATCAAATATTTCTCATGGATCCAGCCAGGCACGTGGGTGTAGGCAACGACTTTGATATGACTCCAAGCTGGGCTGCCTGGCAGCTCTGCTTGCCCTCCCACGTCTCCTGTGCCATTTCCCACCCACCCTGCAACAGTCAGTCCCAGTTCAAACACCACTTTTGATTCACAACTGCTCCCTTCCCCAACAGCAGCTCAGTGAAGCCACCAACCTCTTCTGAGATCTGTTCCCCAGACAGAAGGAGAGAGCCACAGTGAGCACACGTTTCCTATTGGCACCAGTTTTGGCAATTAGCACTGGGATGCAAAAGAACATTTCATAAATAAATAAGTAAACCAATAAATAAATCAAGAACACTTCTGAACACCAAAACAAAAAAAAAACAACCCAAAACCCTTAAAAATAAGAGCAGGGTATGGGACAACTGAAGGTTTCTATACCAAACCTCAAATCTCTCTCTTAGCTGTGGTTTCCCCCTCCTCTTTTTAAAGCAAGGCCTCTTCAGGAAATCAGGTTTGTGATCACAGTGTGAGCCCACAGCTCCCTGCCCTCCTCTAGGCATCTCTGGAGTTGCCCAATTTAAACTGAATCTGAGAAAAGGGCACAAGTATAAAAGGCTTCCACGCAGTTCAAGAAAACAGGTAACAGCAGAGAGGGGAGAAGGGAGTGAGTCAAGGGGGGGGAAAAGGCCACAACACGAGCTCCCACATCACCAGCAAAACCAGAAAGCAAAACTCCATTTTGGAGTGGTCCAGCTGCAGAGCTCACCTGGAGGCACAAGGCATGAAAATCCACAGGAAACCAGCCTGGTTTTTAGTGGAGCTCCTGAAGCAACTGGCTTCTGGAAAGAGGCCTGCCTCACAATTCTGCCCTGCCCCACGCTCCTGCCCTGCCCCTGCAGCCCAGCCTGGGCACTGCCAGGCAGCCAGGAGAGCAAACCCCACTGGAGGCCTCACCCCCACCCTCACTGGCACCTCTTGCCCTTTTTACCAGAAATTTAACCTTCCAACAGCATCATCAAACATCCCACAAGGCTCTGAAAACTAACAACACAGGAGAGACGCAGCGGGGAGGACGGACAGACGGACTAGCCTGAAGATCAGCTGCAGGAGCACCCCGGGACGTGGGGCAAGGGGGGAAGCAGGAGGCAACGGCCAACGGAGGGGACAGCGGGTGACACGA